CCACTGCCATCATTCGGCAGAGCTAATGACCAATACTATGAATACTGTCTCCAAAAGGGCAAAAATAACCAAAAAAACTTCTTCATCCCTTTACTTTTTCCAAATTCCCAAAATCATCCATTAAAAACACTTCCATCCATTATTCGTAAAGTCACACAATGGAATCCACTACAATAAAAAGGAAGTTAAATCAAGGAATTGTTTTGAGGAATACATGATATAGGATAGGACATAAAAGACGATAGTTATAAGACATATAATAAGGGATAGAAACAAAAAACACAAGCACTTTCAACAAAAACGTACATCAGACAAAGGAAACATTGGCGGAACCGCCAAATAAATGATGTGCAATATTTAAGTTGTGCACCATAGGCAGAAATTTTGGCAAGAACAGTGAAAGTTTGATAAAAAAGAAATTCAATCAATGGATGCAACTCTAATGCGAAGGAACCGTCCTTTGCCTCAAGGTCTTCAAAGTCCCCATTTTTGAGTAAAGACATACTGAAAGTACCTCAAATGGATATTACATATATCATGAATAATACGCAGTAGAGCAACATTACTTTGCTCGAAGTGCTTAGGCATTTCTGAATTACAAAATTATTTGAATGAAATTATTGCTGCGAAAATCTCGGACAACTATAGATCATCCACTCACCGAGGTGTAAATAGAACTTTAGGATGAATCAAGTGTCGAACTTTGCCGTCGGCGTTGTTAATGTCTGTGCATATACTATCATGTTCGGTACATTGTTTGTGAAAGGAACCTTGACTTTCAAAAATAACAACGAGATTCGTATGACATTGCAAGTATGTTTTCATCTTTACAAAGGGTTCCTTTAAGGGCAATTTTAGTTTTAGGCTGCAGTGGTATCACTATTCGAGTTAATTTTCTTTCTTTATTGGGAGTACGGTCCTACATCAGGACTTCCTGAGTTCTGGAGGCGCGTATGTGACGGTTATTCAATACTTATCTATTTCGACGTACTCGTTCTACCTTACGTGATACTAAACAAGTAAACAAATCTTGCTTTTATGTCATGATCGTGAGAATACCATTTATGTTTCCATAATGCAAAAGAATTTTAGGACTGTAAAGACGGAGCTAAAGAATATTTTCTGCAGAAAAAGAAGGTCTTCTGTCGTCAAAATCTCGTCACATGTGACACCACAATGAAGCAAAGTGTCACTTCCCATGCTCGACTATCTCTGAATCTTGGCACTGTTTTTTGTCGAACTTCTCTCAGCTGATATTTGAGCCGTAACCAAAATTGCCAATTAACTTATATTTCGGCTGACGTTTCGGCGTCTCAGCCTTTCCGCTCTCCTCCGGTGTACAAGAACGCAAGATATTCCTATGATTGGCCAATCAGATTGCACAGTCTAATGGGTACTCTAACTCAGGCAAACGTGCTAGTTACGTTGCTTTAGATAGGCGCCCAATGCGAGGAGACCGCCTCAGTAAAATCCCTTTGTGCATGCCTTTCATCGCAGACGACTTGAGCAGAGATATCAGGATGTGTTTTTGTCATGCGGGTCTGCAGGAATATGTCAGAGTCATAGATATCCCACCACCCATCTTACATAAACAACTGGTCCGCAAAGGGCATACGACACCATCTGCATAACACCTAGTTGCACGGTCTGCCTACATGGAAGGCCAGGTGATTGCGACAAGTCAGGGTGGTTTATCTCATCACATGCCAATCATGTAGTGAGGAATATGTAGGCGAAACGAGAAGACCGCGGGGTGTTAGAATCAAGGAGCACTTGGATGGACTCGCTAGATCAAAAACCACTACACCTTCAGGTGCTCATCGCAGGCAATGTCATGACATCTTTCATTCAATACGGCTGTCAAGATTTTATTGCACGAATCTGAAACAGTCAGTAGCTCGCAAAACGAAGCGTTTTGAATTATGTCGCGAAATCCAAAAATAAACAGGAAAGAAGAATGCATTGTTGTGACCAACGAGCTGGCGCCGTATCAAGCCCTTCGCGGGTTTTGATCTACGGGGTCGAGGTCGGGTCAGATAGCACTAGCGATGCAGCTTCACAATAGGTGGTCGCTATACAT